TTGATCGGTCGTACCACACCATCGCGTGAAAAAAAAAAAAAAAAAAAAAAAAAAAAAAAAACGCCAAACGTATGTCCACGGACGGCATCGTCACAGAAAAGGGAGCAGTCGAACCCAACAACAAAATGAAGTAACAAAGTGAATAAAAAAAAAAAATAAGAAGGGAGCCGTTGCGGTTTCGGACGGCGTCTTCTTTGATGAGAGGAGCTGCTCTGGCCAGAGCGGCCTGAGCAGCCGTGCTGCTCTGGCTGCTCGGAATATTCCTTTTTGTTCTTTTTCTTACTCTACAGGGTGCCACGACCCTTATTTGAAGCTGATGTGTTAAATTAATAACAAACAACGCGTTGGAACGGAGGAGGTAGAGAGTCTTGGCGTCAGAATTTGACGTGGTAGAAAAGAAAAGAAAATAACGAATGCACAATACATACCGTATGCCAAGACCGTTATACTCCGCACTTGGCGAGGCCTTATGACGCAGCCGACGACCGTAAGGCTATTTATTTTGTTTCTTTAGATTTGTTATCGTGACGACTACTCCAGTGTGCCTCGGAGTCTCCAGCGGAGATCCGGCATGCAGGTTTTAGTAATTATTATTGTCGTTTTGAAGGGCACTCTTTCTATGCTGCTTCGTCCCTGACGCCATAAAAATATTATTTCTGTTTAGATTATAGGCGCGAAAAATCCACACTGACTGGGGCCTGAGTAACAACTCTGCATTACTCAGGCTCTAGCCCGTGTGGATTTTCCCGCCTACAATCTAAAAAGAAAGAATGGCATAAACACACATCAGACGCGCACGCACTCAAAGTTGGTCCAGAAGTCCAATGTCCCCGACGTGTTTTTGTATCGCTTTCAAAACGATACACTGACACCGCCAAGTGTTCCCCGCCCAGGAATTCGGTGACATTAAATAGTCTACTTTTTGTATCCCTTACTCCCTCCCTGTCTTGCGGCGCATTTTCTCAAAAGTCGTCTATGGTCCAGCAGTTGCAGCGTTGTTCTCGTGTCTTCTCGTTGGGTGTTGTATTTCACGCATGCACACAAAAGATGCTAATAATGAAGCTAAATAATCGTACTTATCAATTATTGGACTAATTTTATTGGACTAATTGTATCCACAAACCAATCCGACCATGAACTAAACTTTTTTTATTTTTGTTTATACGTGGTGCAAAGTAATCCCGCCCCATATTTTTATGGCTTCAGAAACGAAGCAGCGTACGAAGAGTGCCCTTCAAACGACAATAATAATAATTATTAAAAACTGCCGGATCTCCGCTGGAGACTCCGAGGCACAGTGGAGTAGTCGTTAGTGGTGCAACACTATCGATAGTACTATCGATAGTATCGATAGTCGCCAGAAACCTGACTATCGATAGTGAAAAAAACTATCGATAGTACTATCGATAGTCGACTATCGAAAAACTATCGATAGTACTATCGACAGTCGACTATCGGAAAACTATCGATAGTACTTATAGTCGACTATCGATAGTCGACAATCAGAAAACTATCGTTAATCGACTATCGGAAATTTATCGATAGTCGACTGTCGTAAACCTATCAAGAGTACTGTCGACAGTTTACTATGGATAGTTTTGCGACACTAGTAGTTTGCGTCGCTCTCTCTTGTCTATTTAACGCTTTAATTTTTTTTTTTTCAAACGGGGGCACCAACTAGCCCAGGCACTTACCATCCCAACTTTGGTTCAGCTTTCAGTGATGACGAAGATGGGGTTTGGGCGAAAAAAGAAGGGGGAGGCGAGCGGTAAGGCGAGGGCAAGACGGGCCGGGGAGGAGGAAGCAGACGGACCGCTGGAGAAGAGAGGGGGAAACCTCCTTCTCTCTTTAGCGTTCCGTCTGCTTCCTCCTCCCCGGCCCATCTTACCCTCGCCCTACCTTCTTGAGTTAAAACGGACTATAGTGGTGCAAGACTATCGATAGCACTAGCGATAGTATCGTTAGTCGCCAGTATAGTAAAAAACCATCGATAGTCAACTATCGAAAAACTATCGATAGTACTATCGATAGTCGACTATCGAAAAACTATCGAAAAACTATCGAAAAACTATCGATAGTCGACTATCGAAAAACTATCGAAAAACTATCGATAGTCGACTATCGAAAAACTATCGAAAAGCTATCGATAGTCGACTATCGCAAAACTATCGAAAAACTATCGAAAAACTATCGATAGTCGACTATCGAAAAACTATCGAAAAACTATCGATAGTCGACTATCGAAAAACTATCGAAAAACTATCGATAGTCGACTATCGAAAAACTATCGAAAAACTATCGATAGTCGACTATCGAAAAACTATCGAAAAACTATCGATAGTCGACTATCGAAAAACTATCGATAGTCGACTATCGAAAAACTATCGAAAAACTATCGAAAAACTATCGATAGTCGACTATCGAAAAACTATCGAAAAACTATCGATAGTCGACTATCGAAAAACTATCGAAAAACTATCGATAGTCGACTATCGAAAAACTATCGATAGTCGACTATCGCAAAACTATCGAAAAACTATCGAAAAACTATCGATAGTCGACTATCGAAAAACTATCGAAAAACTATCGATAGTCGACTATCGAAAAACTATCGAAAAACTATCGATAGTCGACTATCGAAAAACTATCGAAAAACTATCGATAGTCGACTATCGAAAAACTATCGAAAAACTATCGATAGTCGACTATCGAAAAACTATCGAAAAACTATCGATAGTCGACTATCGAAAAACTATCGAAAAACTATCGATAGTCGACTATCGAAAAACTATCGAAAAGCTATCGATAGTCGACTATCGCAAAACTATCGAAAAACTATCGAAAAACTATCGATAGTCGACTATCGAAAAACTATCGAAAAACTATCGATAGTCGACTATCGAAAAACTATCGAAAAACTATCGATAGTCGACTATCGCAAAACTATCGATAGTACTATCGATAGTACTATCGATAGTCAACTATCGATAGTACTATCGATAGTCGACTATCGCTAGTTCTGGGACACTATCGATAGTTTTGGAAAAACTATCGATAGTATCGATAGTCAATTTATCGATAGTTTTGCATCACTAGTAGTCGTCACGATAACAAATCTAAAGAAACAAAATAAATAGCCTTACGGTCGTCGGCTGCGTCATAAGGCCTCGCCAAGTGCGGAGTATAACGGTCTTGGCATACGGTATGTATTGTGCATTCGTTATTTTCTTTTCTTTTCTACCACGTCAAATTCTGACGCCAAGACTCTCTACCTCCTCCGTTCCAACGCGTTGTTTGTTATTAATTTAACACATCAGCTTCAAATAAGGGTCGTGGCACCCTGTAGAGTAAGAAAAAGAACAAAAAGGAATATTCCGAGCAGCCAGAGCAGCACGGCTGCTCAGGCCGCTCTGGCCAGAGCAGCTCCTCTCATCAAAGAAGACGCCGTCCGAAACCGCAACGGCTCCCTTCTTATTTTTTTTTTTTTTTTATTCACTTTGTTACTTCATTTTGTTGTTGGGTTCGACTGCTCCCTTTTCTGTGACGATGCCGTCCGTGGACATACAATTGGCGTTTTTTTTTTTTTTTTTTTTTTTTTTTTTTTTTTACGCGATGGTGTGGTACGACCGATCAACCAATGAGTTTGTTAGAATTGTGTCACGAGGTATAAAATGGCGGATGAAATAAATATAATAAATGCAAAGAAGCGCGCAGTTCCCCCTCGGCGCTTTGTTCTTCCAGAGGCCAGCATCGCAGTGCCATGGTGTTCAACTTGTGCCGTCTTCTTGGCGCCATGAAAGACCCTCTTGAAGCAATTAATTTGCTTTAGCGCGTTGGCCTGCTCCTGGCTCCTGGGTTTTCGTGCGTGTCCAGAGTGCGAAGCTGCGATGACAAGCTGCAAGTCCGCGCTAGATCTGCGGATGGCTACACGGGGGGGGAAGGGGGGGGGGGTGCGGTGTGCGGATGATTCGTGAGGTGCCCAAGAGGAAGTCGGTCAAAGTTCAGTGCCGGGGCGAAGTCTCGATACGAAGCGGTTCCCTTTTCGAAGGATCGCACGCACCTGACGCTTCTCCAACTCATGAAAATCATCCTCCGGATGCCAGAACCTACCGTGCGCCGTCATTCAGCGGGAGGCTGATATCGCAAGTAAGACAATAACTGATTGGGCGAGCCTTTGTCGGGAGGTTGTGCTAAATGCCGTCTTTAAGCATTCAGACATGATTGGTGGCGACGGCGTGACTGTAGAACCAGACGAGAGTATGTTCGGTAGGCACAAGTACCATCGCGGGTATTTAAAGGGCCCCTGAAAAGGAAAAAAAAGTTTTTTTTAAACAGTCTGGTTGGGACACGCGTGTCAAAAAATGAATTTTACGCGAAAAAAAAAAATTTTTAGAGCAATATTGACGGCGAGAGATTTATTTGAAGTTTTGCGCGCAAATTCCATGGTCATTCAGCTCGGCTTCTCATTGGTAGTGATGGTCATTCAACTCAGCTTCTCATTGGCCAATAGAATGAGTGACAGCTTAGATGTTGGTTTTAAAATCTTCGTAATTTTTTTAAATCGCCTGTTGAATTACATATTTTTAGGTTTAAGAAACAGTCCATTGAATGAACGTCGTAATTGTTTCCAAACGTTCTACAAAATCGTAACTTCCGTTCGGATATCGGAACAAACAGAAGCTTCGCCATTTTGTTTTCTGTCATGGTCGCCGTCTCGTAACGCGTCTCGCGTACGTCGTGTACCTCGGGTGGTTTTATAGTTTTATCGCGTTTATATGTGAAGACCTCCTGAAGAGAGCTTGTTGCTTGTGTTAGTTAGTCATCGTAAGTACTTAGGAAGTTGCGCGGGGTGCCAGGTTTTTTTGTTTTTCTGCTCTTTGCGTGATTCGTGTGTCCCGTTTACCCCATCTTTTATCTGTTTGCTAGTGCGCGCCAGTGCCAATATTTTTTTTTTTTTTTTTTTTTTTGAGATGTTGGTTTTTGTAAAGCGGCGGCGATGTCGGTTTCCGTAAAGCGACGGCGCTGTTCCGTCAGTTGCTGCAAGCCTAGTGATCGCGATGCCGAGTGTATCAGCAGCCATGCTGTCCCAGATCATTTGAGAGCTACTTGGTTGGAGGCAATCGGGGGTTCGTCTAGCGACACAGTTCTTCGGGTATGCTCGCGACATTTCGCTCCGGATGCTTTCAAGACGCGCACAAAGGTCACGGGACGTCTGCAACTGAGACGCGGGGCGATCCCTACGCTGTTCTTACCGACGGCAACAGCAGCAAGTGCAACATCATTGGTAAGTGACTCAGTCAAACTTCATTGTCTACTTCGCTATGATAGAGCTTCTAGTATTACATTGTCGCTTTTTCAAACTGTTGTGCGTGCAACTGCAAATCGTTGTAACGCTGCTAACTGAGGTTCACTGCGTAACTTTTACATAAGGTAGAAGTTGCAAACACAGCTTACCATCAGTGGCCTTCTGTGGCAACCAGATTCTCCACTAAACGAAATATCAATAATACATCAATACATCTTCTTTTATATGTATTCCAACCAGCTGCCAAGGGGATCAAAACTGAAAAGGCTAGCAGCTGCGTCTAGCAGTGACAGCCCTGCTGGAGGCTCCATTTCAGTGAGTTTTCTACCGCTTCCCAGTGTGCAATGTATATTGGGTGCAAGCTGCATGTTCTACTACAATTATCTTGCGCGCAGCAACCGGCAGAAGCGTGGCAAGGGCAAGCGGCTGCACATGGATCCTGCGATGCTAGTCAAGGAGCTGGACCAGATGTACGAAGCCTTTGTACCATTCTGGTGACATTTTTTACTGTGGCCATTCAACCCTTTCATTGATTTTGAGAGCAGATTTTTATATGCATCAGGCACACAGACAGCAGCTGCAAATGTTTACTTTTCTGTAGGTTGCTCAACTTCTCAGCTGGCCCAAATAGAGTTGACTCTGTGTGCAGGAGCATTATATTGCACTCAGCCTCCCTTGCATTGTGTTGTAGGCTTACTGCTCCCGGTGTTCTGCCCCTCGTGCAACCGTTGGCACACAGACGGACACTACAGGAATTGGCACCGTAGATTGTGTGACACCAGTGTGTGAGTATGACAGAGTATTTAATTAACTTAATTATTTTGGCAATGCATCAGCATGTTGACAGCCTTTTCTGTAGACTTCATACTAAGCTTGCATTATGTATTGCATCTCTAGCGTCATCGGTCGACCAAGGGTGCAACGCCGCTGTGCTCGCACCACAAGCAAATGCAGGGTCCCCAGGAGCGCCCAGACCAGTCGAACCTGCCACAGCTACCAAGGCTCGGGTGCTGTTGCCAGTCCCCGGCACGACAGGCGCTACAGGAACGGCCACTGTTGACCCTCTGACACCAGTGTGTGAGTATGACAGAGTATTTAATTAACTTAATTATTTTGGCAATGCATCAGCATGTTGACAGCCTTTTCTGTAGACTTCATACTAAGCTTGCATTATGTATTGCATCTCTAGCGTCATCGGTCGACCAAGGGTGCAACGCCGCTGTGCTCGCACCACAACCAAATGCAGGGTCCCCAGGAGCGCCCAGACCAGTCGAACCTGCCACAGCTACCAAGGCTCGGGTGCTGTTGCCAGTCCCCGGCACGACAGGCGCTACAGGAACGGCCACTGTTGACCCTCTGACACCAGTGTGTGAGTATGACAGAGTATTTAATTGACTTAATTATTTTGGCAATGCATCAGCATGTTGACAGCCTTTTCTGTAGACTTCATACTAAGCTTGCATTATGTATTGCATCTCTAGTGTCATCGGTCGACCAAGGGTGCAACGCCGCTGTGCTCGCACCACAACCAGATGCAGGGTCCCCAGGAGCGCCCAGACCAGTCGAACCTGCCACAGCTACCAAGGCTCGGCTGCCATCGCCAATCCCCAGCACGGCCCCCGGCTTCGGAGCCCCGGACGAGCCTACCAGTGAAGTCGCTAACCGTCGCAGCTCCACACCCAAACCATCTGAGGACGACCAAAGTGCAGAGCAGGTAAGTTCTGGCGATGAGCCGAATATGCCTTGGTACGCAGAGGACAACGATGGGCTGGAGGACATGTCAGATAACTCCGGTGACTCGGACAGTGAAACAAGTTCCGACATGGAAGAGGGCTCAGACCTCTGCTTTCAAGCTGCGAGCGACGTGGGCCTGGGTGAGGAGTTCCGCATGACTCGTACAATGCGAGAAGGGGCTACTTCACCGGAGGTGTTTACACAGAAATTTGTTTAAAGAAGGATAAGCATCCAGGTTACTTTGCTGGTGTGACTGGTCTGAGATGATAGCTGGGCAAAAATTTAGCATTGGAAAAAAAATCTGTCAGAAGACCACTGTCTCAGCAGTGTTTCCCATACTAATGCTATGCCAGCTCCTAATCACTTCAAATATCCTTACATTGAAGACGATGACACGGAGGACGACTATGATGCGCCTGGTGAACCCGACAGCTCCTACGTGCTCTCTGCAAATGAGAGCTTCCTGAGGTAACAGTCTTCGAAAAATTCCAGTGTGTATTAAAGTTGAATTTACATTTCTAGTGATCAACAGGACCGTGAAGAGGTGCCACCCCAGAAAGAGGGCAAGTACATTGTTTTTGAGGGGCAGCTCCTGGAGCTCTTCCGGGTGTGCCACACGTGTCTTGCTCCTTGCCGCAACACCACTGTAGTGAAAGGCAGTCTGCTGACAGTGACAAGCACCTGTGAGAACAAGCACACGAGAAAGTGGAGGAGTCAACCGATGCTGGGGGGCAAAGGAGCAGGAAATGTTCTCTTTTGTGCCGGCATTCTCTTTTCAGGTGCCCAGGTCGCGACTACCTTCAGGGTGCTCGAGTCACTCAACATTGCGATGATCACGGAGCGCATGTACTACTACTACCAGAGTGGTTACCTGCTGCCTGTGGTGAAGCAGGTCAGCTAGTACTGAAAGCGGTTCTGAAAATGAAATGACAGTCTTACCCACTTAAATGCCATTATTGCTTGCCAGGTGTACGAACGACGCAACAGCGAGCTCTTGGAAGAACTACGAGGCAAGAACCTTGATCTGGCTGGCGATGGCCGCTGCGACTCTCCGGGGTTCAGCGCCAAGTACTGCACATACACCTTCCATGAGGCGAGCACCAAGAAGCTGATCCACATTGAGCAAGTGCAAGTTCGTGAGGTAAGATTTACTAACCAAGGCAAACGTGGTTACTGTAGGACTGATATATCTCTTATTTACAATCCCTCATCTTTTGTTAAATTGTATAGTTTAAATGTATTTAGTCAGTGCAATGAGCATTTATGGGTGAACCAAAGAGAGTGGTAGACACGACAGACCTTCTGTCTTTGCCGGTTGATGCAGCTAACAACAACAGATATGGCATTGACAGCGACTGCTGAACCATTAAATGTATACATATTGTAATCAGACAGCTGAAGTGCCCTCGAGCAACGCCATGGAGAAGGTGGCCTTCCTCCGCGGCCTTGCCAAGCTCAAGGATCAAGGCTTCACCATTGCCTCTTTCATGTCAGGTATATAAAATTTACCAGAAGAATTTTGAATCTGCCTATGCTTTTGGGCTCTCTACCACGCAATCCCTCTTCTGCAGACCGCCACCCAGGTGTGGAGTGCCACATGAGGACCATGGAGAGTGGCACAAAGCACTACTTCGACACGTGGCACATCTCCAAAGGTTTGTTGTGCACATTGTTGTTTGCCTACTGGGTTCCTACATGCTGTGGATAACAGATGCCCCCTTTCCAAGGCGTGAAGAAGAAGCTCCTCGCAGCAAGCCGGAGTGGCCCTTGCAAGGATCTGGAGGTGTGGGTGCAGCCGGTAAACAACCACCTGTACCACTGTGCTGCACTGGGGGAAGGAAATGGCCCACTCATGGTAAGCATGTGGATGAGCCTCCTCAACCACGTGGTCAACAAGCATGACGGCCACGACGGACCCTACCACGAGTGCCTGCACCAGCCGCTCTCCGATCGCGCTTGGCTAGCTGTCGGTGAGTTAACTATTTTGTTCATTGTTCACCATAGCCGTGCTGCGATTCTGATGTGGTGGGGTGAGGGGAGGGAGAATGGACATGCCTTGATGATGTCACATAGCTGTATATGTACACTGCAGAACACAGTAAGCACAAACATGGCATCCGCGCTTTTCCATGTTTTCCTCAAACAGGGTATTGAAAAGCGGTCAGTTTTGCTGCCTAACTTAGAGCCCCTAATGAGCAGCTTTCGCTGCACTATTAGTTCCTATGAGAACCTTTCAGGTCTGAGAAAAGCCGGCAACAACTTGTTCGGGTTAACACTGTCACGCTCTCTACATTTTTCAGGTACACCAGCTTACGAAAAGCTCAGGAGTATCGTTGCAAGCCCGCGGCTTCTCAAGGATATCCAGCACCTGTCCCCCGGAACTCAGACGTACTACGTGGAAGCCTTCAACAGCCTGCTGCTAGGGTTCGCCTCCAAATCTCGGGTTTTTTCACCAGAAGGGATGGAAGCAAGGTAAAGCTAAACTGGCCTAATGGTTCCTTCCTCTATTCAGTTGACCATTTCTCAAAAAAATTTGCTATAGTATATTGTCACAAAATCTTCCTTATCAAATGTGAACAAAAAATTTCGAAAGCGTTAGGCGGGAGACGACGAAGTGCTAGAAGAGGGCACACAGCACTTGCTTTCAGTTCCTGACCAACCGAGCACGGCTGAACTTCCCTTGTGTATACGAATACATTTTATAGGAAGTTCGTTACGAAGGGCAGAACAATGTATGGCCGTATAAAAGTATCGCAACCGGCGGCGTAGATTCACCGAGCTCTCTATTTTGCGTGTGCCGACGACGTTTTTTGTCGCCTTTTATAACAGTAGCTGCCTTTGCACCGCCAAGCGAAGGGCTCGATCGCGTTGCATCACTTCGAACAGCAGCACTGATATCTACAGTCACCCGCTTTTTCTTCAACGACCTTGTCAAGGCTTCTTCAATACCGGCGTCAAATAGAAGCGATCGTGCTCGCCATCGCCTGCTTCCAGTTTATTCGGAGACCGTCTGGCACAGGGGAGGAAGCAGAAACTGTGCAGAAGCGGGTTTGGAGCCGCGGGTTTTTTTGCCGTTCAGTAGGTTCAGTAGGACTCCGACTCGAGTCACTCCGTTCGGAGGCAATGGAGGCGCTACTGAACGCGCCCAATGCTGTAAAGCTTGCAGTGCAGTGTATTGAAGATGGCTTGCTTGGGAAGTTGCTAGTAAAATATCTGAAATAATGCCAACGTGCCCTCGGCTCCCTGAGGCCCCACGACCCCCACTTTGCGCACTTCTGCTGTTGTGCATTGCTTGTAATTGGGAGGACAAGCCTGAGCAGAGCACGGTCAAAAGTTCCGTTGGTTGTTTTCAAGCCAGCACCCTGTAAACAAGGCTTCATAATTTATCATCAAGTTTGGACTAGCTTTTCAAATTTGAATGTGCTACTCCATTTAGTGTATGAAATTTGTGCCCTGTTGAAACCTTATACTCTTGCGTTAATTCGGCCCCATGCTGTGTCTGTCTTTATTGTAGGACCTTGGTGGCTGTGCTTCATTTCAACGAAAATGTCGGGCGTGAGCAAGCCACAACCAGGGAAGGGGAGCTTTGCTTCAAGATCGCAACACCCAGATCACGGAAGGGCCACTCAACGGCACGCCCGAAGCCAGCCGACGCAACTTTTCGTATGTTATTGTGGAAACAGTGGGTGACAAAACCGTGACACGAGATATCGACTTGCAGAGTACCGTGACGAGCTCCTGGACGAGTTAATGGTCTGCCTGGGGAAATGGCCCACCTTGAAGGAGGCCGTCGCTGCGAATCCGCCGGACCATCCGCCGCCCATGTGTGCCAGCTATCCAAGGCCCCCCAAGAGCGAGCTGATCGTGGCAAGACGAACCCGGTTTGCCTCTCATGCCGGGTATGTTCACACGAGTAGTGAACATTTCTGGTAGCGTGGCTGCTTGATTAACAGCAAAAATATAACAAAAGCGTAGCCCCCCCTTCATCGAAGTGAAGGCACAGATGATTGTTTTGTGTTTTAATGCGAAAGCATTAACTGGTCTCATGGAGCGAGCTGACCGAAACGCAAAAAACGGCTCCTAGTTTCTGCCGCGACCCCAATAAGAGCGATTCGCCTTCGGTTCCATTGACTGGCGTGCATCGACGGAGCTCCCATTGGCCGCTGCGGCCTCCGAGATCCATGGCCTCCGAGTTCCCGAAGCGCGCGCGCGCTAGTACGTGATAGAACTCCGGCGCGAGGAACGAGCCGTACGCCATGTTTGAACAAAAGCCAAGCAAGAAGATGACAATGTTTATTAGGATGGCGTAATGTGCGATAACTGTACAAGAAAGACTAAGATCGAGTTTTTTCAGTACGCAGCAGACGACAAAGGGAGCGGCTTGCATGCTTTCGCATTTACAACTCGTAAGAAATGCTTTAGGTGTACCTCGAGTTTTTTGCCTTCCACAATAGTCGGTGGCTGCTGGCTATTGTGTGGTGTAGCTCACACTGAAATTTGCACTGCAGATCATCTCAGAAGCTCATCTGAACCACCTACGGCACTCTCTTCACTGCAACCAGTTACTTGTTTATGGCATAAGGTATGCTACGGATGGAGCAGATTTTCTTTTTCCTGCAAGGTGCATGAGTGTATTGTCTGTCTGTGTAACATGTTTTCACTGAAGTAGAGGAAGCGACCCAACTTTGCAAGGCAAGGTTTGTAGCATGCCTTTTTTTGGTGTCACTGTCAGTCGTATTTATTCAAATAAATTGTTACTTTGTTGCTTTCTTTACAGCAGAGGTAAGTTCTTGTTTGCTGCCTGTGTGTGTCTTTTTTTATGTCGCAGGCAGACCCCAGGTTCACAAGAGGGCTCTCCTCCCCGCTGCCAGCCGTTAGTCACTGGCCATGAGGTAGGGAAGATAACGAAGCATATTTTTTATCCCTGCAAGCTGCAGGTGCACGCTCGGAACCTGAACGTTCCCTTGGAGCTCAAGGGCGGCCAGTCTCTTCAGCATGCATTGTTGCCTCGCTTTCTGTCTAGTCACATTTATTCGAATAATTTGTTGCATTGTTGCTTTCTTTACAGCAGAGGTAAGTTCTTGTTTGCTGCCTGTGTGTGTCTTTTTTTATGTTGCAGGCAGACCCCAGGTTCACAAGAGGGCTCTCCTCCCCGCTGCCAGCCATTAGTCACTGGCCATGAGGTAGGGAAGATAACGAAGCATATTTTTTATCCCTGCAAGCTGCAGGTGCACGCTCGGAACCTGAACGTTCCCTTGGAGCTCAAGGGCGGCCAGTCTCTTCAGCATGCATTGTTGCCTCGCTTTCTGTCTAGTCACATTTATTCGAATAATTTGTTGCATTGTTGCTTTCTTTACAGCAGAGGTAAGTTCTTGTTTGCTGCCTGTGTGTGTCTTTTTTTATGTTGCAGGCAGACCCCAGGTTCACAAGAGGGCTCTCCTCCCCGCTGCCAGCCATTAGTCACTGGCCATGAGGTAGGGAAGATAACGAAGCATATTTTTTATCCCTGCAAGCTGCAGGTGCACGCTCGGAACCTGAACGTTCCCTTGGAGCTCAAGGGCGGCCAGTCTCTTCAGCATGCATTGTTGCCTCGCTTTCTGTCTAGTCACATCTATTCAAATAAATTGTTACTTTCTTTACAGCAGAGGTAAGTTCTTGTTTGCTGCCTGTGTGTGCCTTTTTTTATGTCGCAGGCAGACCCCGGGTTCACAAGAGGGCTCTCCTCCCCGCTGCCAGCCGTTAGTCACTGGCCATGAGGTAGGGAAGATAACGAAGCATATTTTTTATCCCTGCAAGCTGCAGGTGCACGCTCGGAACCTGAACGTTCCCTTGGAGCTCAAGGGCGGCCAGTCTCTTCAGCATGCATTGTTGCCTCGCTTTCTGTCTAGTCACATTTATTCGAATAATTTGTTGCATTGTTGCTTTCTTTACAGCAGAGGTAAGTTCTTGTTTGCTGCCTGTGTGTGCCTTTTTTTATGTCGCAGGCAGACCCCAGGTTCACAAGTGGGCTCTCCTCCCCGCTGCCAGCCGTTAGTCACTGGCCATGAGGTAGGGAAGATAACGAAGCATATTTTTTATCCCTGCAAGCTGCAGGTGCACGCTCGGAACCTGAACGTTCCCTTGGAGCTCAAGGGCGGCCAGTCTCTTCAGCATGCATTGTTGCCTCGCTTTCTGTCTAGTCACATCTATTCAAATAAATTGTTACTTTCTTTACAGCAGAGGTAAGTTCTTGTTTGCTGCCTGTGTGTGCCTTTTTTTATGTCGCAGGCAGACCCCGGGTTCACAAGAGGGCTCTCCTCCCCGCTGCCAGCCGTTAGTCACTGGCCATGAGGTAGGGAAGATAACGAAGCATATTTTTTATCCCTGCAAGCTGCAGGTGCACGCTCGGAACCTGAACGTTCCCTTGGAGCTCAAGGGCGGCCAGTCTCTTCAGCATGCATTGTTGCCTCGCTTTCTGTCTAGTCACATTTATTCGAATAATTTGTTGCATTGTTGCTTTCTTTACAGCAGAGGTAAGTTCTTGTTTGCTGCCTGTGTGTGCCTTTTTTTATGTCGCAGGCAGACCCCAGGTTCACAAGTGGGCTCTCCTCCCCGCTGCCAGCCGTTAGTCACTGGCCATGAGGTAGGGAAGATAACGAAGCATATTTTTTATCCCTGCAAGCTGCAGGTGCACGCTCGGAACCTGAACGTTCCCTTGGAGCTCAAGGGCGGCCAGTCTCTTCAGCATGCATTGTTGCCTCGCTTTCTGTCTAGTCACATCTATTCAAATAAATTGTTACTTTCTTTACAGCAGAGGTAAGTTCTTGTTTGCTGCCTGTGTGTGCCTTTTTTTATGTCGCAGGCAGACCCCGGGTTCACAAGAGGGCTCTCCTCCCCGCTGCCAGCCGTTAGTCACTGGCCATGAGGTAGGGAAGATAACGAAGCATATTTTTTATCCCTGCAAGCTGCAGGTGCACGCTCGGAACCTGAACGTTCCCTTGGAGCTCAAGGGCGGCCAGTCTCTTCAGCATGCATTGTTGCCTCGCTTTCTGTCTAGTCACATTTATTCGAATAATTTGTTGCATTGTTGCTTTCTTTACAGCAGAGGTAAGTTCTTGTTTGCTGCCTGTGTGTGTCTTTTTTTATGTCGCAGGCAGACCCCAGGTTCACAAGAGGGCTCTCCTCCCCGCTGCCAGCCATTAGTCACTGGCCATGAGGTAGGGAAGATAACGAAGCATATTTTTTATCCCTGCAAGCTGCAGGTGCACGCTCGGAACCTGAACGTTCCCTTGGAGCTCAAGGGCGGCCAGTCTCTTCAGCATGCATTGTTGCCTCGCTTTCTGTCTAGTCACGTTTATTCGAATAATTTGTTGCATTGTTGCTTTCTTTACAGCAGAGGTAAGTTCTTGTTTGCTGCCAGTGTGTGCCTTTTTTTATGTCGCAGGCAGACCCCAAGTTCACAGGGGGTTCTCTCTACGATTACTTTTCTTCCATGCACATAAGCTGTGACTGATTATTTGTATGTTCTTGTGCCTGCCCTTGTTTTGTCTCTAGTTTGAGTGGCTATACTATGCATGTTCTCACATCCCCAACATCCCCCCCCCCCCAAAAAAAAACAACCCTCCCAGTGCCAGTGATGAAACAATAGACCACTATGCAATGGAGCCTACAATGCAGAGGCCAATATTCTGAGGCTTTACTAAAACAACCTCCCTTTTTATATACTAAACACCCCTTCCCCAGCATATATGTAAAACATTTTCATTTTGATAATAAAGAATACGTCACAAAACGATCAGCTTGCAACTTCTTTTATTTCTATAGGCCTCAGCACAGCAACACTGCATTCCTGTTGCGTAAAATACACCAGTTCACTCTGAAGGTACAGTAACATTACTGAAGTACAAGTCCAGCGGAAGACACCAATGGCATGCAGGCACAGTAGCAGCTTCTTTGTTGCGGGCTTAGTGGAGGGGGAAATGCGGTCTATGAACCGTGCTTAGGGGGGAGGCAAACCTTCATGGGGGTTTGATAACTTGCTAGTGCAGTAAAAGTTAACTGTGGCTAGCCCTAGCGAAAATTGCAATAAAGGTTTTTTATCTGTATTCGGTGTATTGGGTTATGGTCCAGTAGGAATAGGTCGTCCAGTAGATCCTAGCGGAACCAGCGCGGAAAGAAAGTCGCCTGCTTCTTGGGCATGAGTTGCGGTGACGTGAGGACGGCACCGAGCTCAGATTGGCTTTGTCAGAAAGAACAGTGGGTAGACCTCAATGCTAGATGCTTAGAGGTCTACCCACTATTTTCTTCAATAAGCCAACAAGTTCTCGGTGCACTGACATTATAACTAAGGTGTGTACTTTCCGGTGTTTATTTGTGAGAAAAATCGGCGGATGTTTTTCGGTGTTTATTTATTTTCAAAACACCGGTGTATTTCGGTGGAACGTCTCACGACGAGGCTGAAATCGGTGATTATCGGTGGTAAAAAAATGCGATTGATCACAGACAGAGGGTTCCAATTTTATTCACATAGTTCATATACTTCTTCTCTAGGAAGCAACTATATCTAACACTTGGTTATTATAGTAGATGCAAGCATACTTTCATGCTTGCATCTACACGCAAGGAACGTGCTGCCGTCATGGCAGCACGTTCCTTGCGGTTCGCAACCCGCAATTATGAAAACGCACGCTCCTGTACGACACGGACGTTGGCAGTGTCTTCCAGGAACCACAGCAACCTCTGAATACATGGCTTGCACCAACATCACTTGGCCAGACACAATGAGGAAAAGGCGCGTGAAAGCCTACCCTCCACCGCATTAATTTTTCCACAAAAGGGGGCCATGGGAGACACAATAAAGGAAAGGCGTTTAAGAGCTTTGCTTCCACTGCGTTCACTAGACGCTTTTGACCCCCAGAAAGGAGGGCGGACTAACGCCACCTGCAAGCCATGTATAAACACTGGAAGAATGCAGGATCCACGAGATAACACGTTTGACGAACCTCTACGGGGAAAGGGTTTCGCTAGGTCGGAAACTATCAACGACCGGTGTTTTTCAGTTTTAACCAGGGCGAAAATATCCAACCACCGGTGTTTTTCGGTTTTAACCAATTTTATATTTTAGTCGCCGACGGATGTTTATCGGTGTTTTTCGGTTAAAACCGGAAAATGCACACCCTAATTATAACTCCCTGTGTGCATGAAGCAGAAGAGCTTGTGCTCTGTATACGTTTACAGAGCGGGATACGCAAACCCCCGATATACTTCAGACGGATAGGCAGTTCGGATGGCTTGGATGACACAGGAGGGCAGGACTTTCCTGTTGCCTTTGCCAAGCCGCTGCCATATCCACCTGGAGAACTGACGGTATGCCACATACCTGTATTTCCTGTTGGAAGGAAGAGAAGTATGCATGCATAAAATTGTCACAAAATTATGCGATCTCGGGGAGAATTAGTCAACTGAATATCAACCAGCAGATTAGACTAGGCCGAACTTGTAGATAAAAACATTCATGCAGGCCTACATTCTGCATATTCAACCTTACTTATGGGCCGTTCTCTGCCGGAGGAGTTCCCCGTCGTGCAGCTCCATTGCCCTCATGCCATAAGCAATCTGGAGGACGACAGGGTTCAGGATGGCACCAAAAAAGTCTTTGTGGCGCGTGATGCACTTGTTGCCGGCCTTGGCGGTGACCTGGCTGACCTCTTGACAGCACAGGCACTCTCGCGTCGTGGGCATCACAACGCAGTGGCCGCAACTGCACCTTGTAGCATACAATATCGTGCCAGTCAATACCAGCATAACACATTTATCGCCATCCTCGCCAGTTACGGTACCCAAAGGGACAGTTAGTGGCTGATTAGTGAAGGCACGCGACACCGCACTCACCGTTTAATAAAAAAATATCAGTTACCACTGCGTGTCCTCGCGGCGGCTTGAAGGGTCGTGCGGCTCGGACGAGCTCGTCGAGGCACCCGCTTCGCCGCCTTCCGCGGCAGATTCTTCGCGCGCGGTTGTCTCGCGGCGATCGGCGCGGACGCCTTCCGGCTGGCGAGGCGTGTCCTCGTACGGGCGAAGGCCCAATTCCTGGCAGCGTTGAAGCAACCGACGCTTCAGGTCAGGGTCCATTGCGACGACTATGTACTGTCTAGTCTGCACGACCACGGCACCACGGTGACCACGGTACGTTCACGGTACGACGTGGTACGGCGTGCGACCGGCAGATACAGGAAGTAGCAATGGCTCTCGTACGGGGTGCAGCCAAGCAGCCAAGCCGATCCACTACGAAGGGGCGGGGAGTACCTCTCCTCCGCGCGCCCGAAATGCCGAGAGAGAGAAGAAGTGGAAAGGAGGTGACTACCGACTAAATTGCGTCTGGCGCAGCCAATATTGCTCTAAAAATTTTTTTTTTTCGCGTAAAATTCATTTTTTGACACGCGTGTCCCAACCAGACTGTTTACCAGTCGAAAAATTACGGTATGGAGAAATGAAAGGGTATCATGAAAGATTGCGGTAAATTACTCGTACTTTACTTTGAAAGCACATTGTGTTTATAGTCCTTTACTCCAAGTACGTTGAATCCAATGTAAATAATAATTTATTTAAGGTACATCACGTCTCATTCACTATGTACTTTACCCAACACTGGCTACAAGCGCCAGCATGCGGCCCTGAGCAATGCTTGCATTGCACGAGAGCGCGTGCTTGGCACGGACGTTGAAATCCCGGAGTTTGCTCTAGTAGCTTTTGCTACGTTTACTCTTACAGTGAAACGGAGTATAATGAACGCGCACTTTTGTGACGGACTTATTTAATTCCGTCTTACTGCTTTGCATGTTTGCACTATATGTCTTAATTTGCATTTTCAGAAACAACAAATGGCTTTCAAGGACTTGCGGCTCCGTCTGACGAACGAAATTTTGAACGGAATTAAGGTACACATACAACTTAAATGTTTGCGTGTATTATAAGTATTTAGGTGACAACGCCTGCTGTTTCGTGACGCGATCAGCATATTCATGATTAAATTTGACGGTGTTCGTATTAATTACGATAAATATAAAAAATAAATAAAGCAAGGCAGAAGAAACTGGCATTAGGAAGCCTTACTTTAAGGTAATGTCGGGCATCAAATATTTAAAAAAAACTTAGAGGTATGCCATATGAGATACAACAATGCGATACTCGAGCCCTTATTTTACTTTATACCATACAGCCTTTATCTTGGTTATCATTACTATTCCTCTTTGGTGAATATGAGTCAGTGTAGGAGATACATAACTCTACTACCGACAGATTGTTGGCAATAAGGTAAACCCGCGTCTCTCATGACGTCATTCGGGTATAAGCTACTTTGTAATGTCACTAATTGATTATGAATATAAAAAGTAACAAGTAAAGGAATTGAATTGATTTTTTTTTCAAAAGGTAGGCAGCGGATGTCAAAAAATAAATTTAGCCTCGTGAATGCAGCTTGACGTGTGCACCGGAATGAATGGTAAAGAACGTATACTGCGCTTTTTCGGATTCATGGATTCTGACCTTTTCCCAGGTGATCAAACTGAACGCTTGGGAACCATCGTTCATTGAGAAAGTGAAGAAAGTGCGTACGAAGGAATTGTCCTCTCTCAGAAAATACTCTCTCCTGCAATCGGCTTTCGGATTCATCTGGACGATTACGCCTTTTGCGGTACGTGCAACGAACGTGTCTTGCTTTGCTTCTTCGACAAAAGTAAGCTGTTTCTACCAATATAAATCGACTACTGTGCACCATACCGTTTTCTTTTGTGAACCGGTAACTACCCTAAACGTTCATCTAATAAAAAAACGTGAGCAGCTAATATTTATGTATATTTGGTTTCTGCAGGTGTTATATCGGACTTACCTCGTCGAATTTTGTGCAAATATTCCAACGGTGCGCACTTGGGAACTTGCCTGCCGCATATGACAGGTGCGCCGACGAAACTTACCTGCCGCATTCCATTGTTGTATGATTTTTGTTACGATAAGTATATAACCTAGTCTATAGACCATTTGCCAAAATTACCAAAGCATCAAGGGGAATTAAACTCACTGCTCGCGCCCGCGTTATCTCTATAAACTAGGGGTCCTCAAACAGCGGCCCGCAAGGTAATATTATGCGGCCATTGCCACGCTACCAGACAAGCCCCCCCCCCCCCCTACCCCTCCCCGCCCCCACACACACACGCACATACTCGAGTGTGTGTACACACACACACTCGAGAACTATTGGCGCAAGAATTAGCGTTGGTTGCGAGCCTGGTATAGTTGGGCGTATTAGTTTATTATCAACTAGTAATAATAATAATAATAATAATACGCTTATTTCGACATGCATATGTCTGGGAGGCTGCGGCAAAAGAAGACACGAAGTCCTCTGACGTGGCCACCAGCCCCCATTACAGCACTCGGCACGTACTTCTAAGGGTACCGAAAAAAAAATGAACATCAATTACTTAATTCCCATCAAAATAAGTTTACGGATGAAAACATTTGAAGAGTCACAAAGTTGAGTGAAAAATAACAAACACTGTTACATATAATATAATTGATCACATTTGCACATTTGAACTAACGGCCCAAGTGGCAGGTGCATATTATTCGATTGAAAGAAAATATAATTTGATAATTTTCCTAAAGATCTGGAGATTGCTACAGTTGTGTACCATTTGAACTATATTTGCATGAGTATTTAGTAAGTCAGCGATTTTATAATGAAGTGTTTGAGTTCCATAGTTTGTTCTAACATTTTGTTTGATGTAAAAGGTGTGTCTAAGAGTGTAATTGGCAGGCTTATGAAGGTAGGCGTTGAAGAAAGAGGTCTCATCCCGCTTTATCTCGTCAAAGATAATGTTCGCTAATTTAATAGAAAAAACATGTCCGATGGGTAATGGCTTGTATTTTTCGAATGTGGGCGATGTATGCTGAATATAACCTAAATTATCTACGCACCTAACGGCCTTCTTTTGTAAAAGAAAAACTTTTTCAATGTTTGTTTTTGTCGTGGTTCCCCAAACTAAAAGACAATACTGTAGGCGGGAGTACACAAGAGTATAGTAAAGCTGCAGTTTAAGCCAGTTTGGTAACAAGTGTCTGACTTTATTCAGTACACCAATTGAACGTGATATATCACATCTAATTTTATTTGCATGGTTCGTCCAACTTAAAAACTCCTCAAACCAAACCCCAAGGAACTTATGAGCCGAAGTGCTTTCTATCGTAGAGTTTAAAAATGTAACATTCAACTTACGCTGAACAAGTTTATTTTTGGACCTGAATATAAAATATTTTGTCTTTGCTGTGTTTAACTCTAGTTGGTTAGACCGCAACCACTGAGATAGCTCATTAAGCCAGCAATTTGCACACTGTTCAATTTCATCGAGATTTGTCCCGGAAAAGAAAAAGTTGGTGTCGTCCGCGTACAGGATAATATCGGGGGTTCGCGGTATATTAACTATGTCATTTATATATGCCAAAAATAACAAAGGTTCGAGGATTGAACCCTGAGGAACGCCGTACTGCATCAGGGAAGTTTGTGATGTAAAACCGTTTATAGATGTGAATTGTCTTCGAGCTGATAAGTAATTCTTGATAAGTTCGAGAGCTAATCCCCTTCTACCATATCGCTCTAGTTTTCCAAGAAGAATATCATGCGTTTATAGAGTCAAAAGCCTTCCGAAAATCTAGGAATATACCGAGTGTGTAAAGTCGATTTTCTACGTTACTTATTATTTTGTTTTTTATGCATAGCAAAGCTGTTTCTGTAGATTTTCCTTTCTGAAACCCATACTGACAAGATGTTATAATATTATTATAAAGAAAATATTTAGAAAACCTAGTATTTATTACCTTTTCTGCAATTTTTGAAAATAATGGAAGCACTGATATGGGCCTGTAGTTGTTTAGGTTAGTTAATGTACCGCTTTTGTGTATAATACAAACTCTAGCTAATTTCATTTTATTAGGAAATATACCAGTTTCAAGAATTCTATTGCATATATGAGCTAGAGGAGAACAAATCCAGTCTTTTACTGCTTTGATGGGGGCTACCTTCAAATCATTATATCCAGAGGCGCTGCTGCACTTCAACGAGACAATTATATCATTAATTTGTGTTTCATTGGTGGGAGTCAAAAATATAGAGTTAGCTAAGTTCATGGTTATGTACGTTTCATAGTTGCTGTAGTCCATTAATGTGGAAACACTGCCACCTGCAGTCAAAAAATGCAAGTTGAACCTCTCGGCCAGTGACGCGTGAGAATATGTCTGATCATCTATTGTGAGTTCATTTGGTATGACATTAGGAACAGGGGATAGTACGTCTTTAACAGTCTTCCATACTTTTTCTGGGCTGTTTTTTATAGATACAAATTTATTTGTATAATATCTAACTTTCGCTTTTTTCAAATCTACAGTCAGTTTATTACGTTGCTTTTTGTATTCAGTTAAAATATTAAGGTATCTAGTTTTGGCAAATTTATCGAACAGCTTATTCCTTGCTTTTATTGTTTTGTATAACTCTGCAGTAACCCATGGTTTCTTTGATTTGTTGTGCTTTTTACATTGAGCCCGAGGAAAAGCTGAGTCGTAATATTTTCTTATTCTTTCCACGAACTTATCGTACGCTTTATCAGGGTCTAGTTCGGTTAGAACATCGTTCCAGTTATCATTCGAAATGAGTATGGTAAACTGTTCAATATTTTTTGATTACTAGTATGGCGATAAGTCAGCTTTTCGTGTGCGCTAGATTGCTTACTGCCCAAGTTCTTCCAGCAGATAAAACAAAATATAGGAAAATGATCGCTTAGATCCACCGAAAATACGCCTGCTCTTGTGCCATGAGTTTCATAATTTGTTATACAAAGATCGATCAAAGTATCAGTGTGTTCCGTTATTCTCGTAGGCATGTTGACTAAGTTTCTACAACCAAAAGACTGTATTATTTCAAGAAATTCAACTTTCGGCGGTTCATGAGACCGTAAGTCTATATTAAAATCGCCTACTATGACAATCTGAAAATTCATGGAAGTAACATACTCCAGTAAGCCTGTAATGAAACTAAAAAAATATACTAAAGGATCCGTTCGGTGGCCTGTATATTGCAGCAATAACCGTTCTAGAACTTTGAACGACTAATGATTCATAATTATTATAATCAACACCCGTGAAGTCTGGAATAATTTTA